CCGAAAAACATTCACAACACGCCCGCTGGCAAACACCCCCCAGCCGGTTCTGCCCGAACCGCCTAGGGGCTCGGGGGCTACACCCGTGAGTGCGCGCGAGCGCACCCGCTGATAAAACAAAAACCTCCCCCGCTGCCCCCCTAGACAGTTCTGTCCGACTCGCTCGGAGGCTCGGGGGCTACACCCGCGGGAGCGCTCGCGCGCACCTACCGTCAAAACAAAAATCCTTCAGATGATTCTACCCGAATCACCAGGGGCTCGGGGGCTCCTGTCGGGTTCATAAACCCGGAGTCCCACGGGGACCGGCTTCCCAACAGAGGCTCGGCCCAAGAAGGCAACCTTGCAAAACAACGCGCACCTCATGGGCCGGCCCGAATACCTGAGCGGCAGGTCGGAGGAGCAATCCAATCTCCGACCGGAAGGCTAGGCTGAGGAGGAACAGCACCCATTTCCGATTCCGGCCCTCTTCGACCGGAGCGCTCGCCCCGGTCTCAGACCCGCCTCCGAACGGCCTCTCGAACGAAAGGCCTGGCCAAAAACATCGCTACCGACTCTGACCCAAGCTCTCCGACCAGGGATATGCCAAGCCCCTGCTCAGTGCTCTTCTCCGACTGACACGATTAGAGCTGACTGGGACCAACCGACTAGGAACACCCGCTCAGTAAGGACCAGGAAACATCCGGAGAAAGTAAGGCAGGGCGCACAAGTCAAAGCCACGATATCAGGGACCATACCCTGCACACCTGTAGAAGCAGTACTCTGCAGCTTCCCTGACACAAACAGTGTTGTAGGCACCGATATTTTCTCCTACAGCATTGTGGGCGCCATTAACTCCCATACGGTAAGGCACCCCCACATGCCTCTGGGCATCGACGGTGTTGTGGGCGCCGAGATTTACCGTACTGAGTCAACATGGTGAACCCCCTCACATGCCTCTGGGCATCAACAGTATATGCAGGTACCGACATCTGCCATACCTGAAGAAGGCGACGCAACCTCCCACATACATCTGACATTCTACAGTGACAGCAACAGTATTGTAGGCGCCTGCAATCATATTGTACCCGCTAGCATGGGCAACAAGGCTTAGAAACAAACGTACCCTCTCACTTGTAAAGCCATCCTCTTCATCTATAAAAGGGGATGCGCTCCCTCCAACATAACTCAGTTCATTCAAGTAGATTCAAGTTCTTTTAGATTCATTAGATCGACCAAGTTCACTAGTCCACAACCGTAGAACCGCTAGGTTCGAACCTCAAGCACACGCTTGAACACTTAGCTCGTAGCGGAGCTCCTGTCGCTCTCGGCCCTTCCGACCGAAGTTCGACCGGACCTCTCATACACCCCATCTTTCTCCCTCTCGTTTGTAACCCCACTGCAGACTTCGAACACCTAGGCTCAGGAATAAAGTCACCGACCGACTCAAACTGGACGTAGGGCACGTTGCCTGAACTAGTATAAACCCTGTGTCATTGGGTGCTAGGCCACCTTCGATCACAACGTACGGTAAAACTACAAATATTTATGTGTTGGTCACTTTCTGCACCGACACTAGTCGAACAACCTAAAATATATTCCACAACATCACATGAGTACAATGTGAATACTAAAAAATAATCGTGGAACATCTAATTTATACTATGTGAACATCATAAAATACATCACAGAACATCATATGTATATGCGAACGTTAGAACAAGACATATGCAAAAACAAAAATAATAAAAAAGAAAAAACATGTAATAGAGTCAAAATAAAAATGAACGTCACTTAAATACTACCTAAACAACCTAATATATACCACTGAACATATGTTACATATATGCTACTGGACATCAAAAAATACATCCTAGAACATCTTAAATACATCATAGAACATCACATTTATACTATGTAAACATGAGAAAATATATCATAGAACATTACACGTATACTATGAACATACGTCACATGTATGCTAATGGACATCACAAAATATATCCTAGAACATCATATGTATACTACGCGAACATCACATATATCATGAAATAAAAAAATTTAGTGAAGTAATTAATAATAGTCAAATAAAAAATACTATCGAACATCACAAATACATCGTAGAACATCGCATTAATACTACATGAACGTATACTACGCGAATATCACATATATCATGAAATAAAAAAATAAAATTAGTAAAGTAATTAATAATAGTCAAATAAAAAAATACCATCGAACATCACAAATACATCATAGAACATCGTATTAACACTACACGAACATCGCTAAATATATCATAGAACATCATATGTATACTACGTGAACATCACAAATATAATGAAAAATATAAAATAAAATAATAAATTAGTGAAATAATTAATTAGAACAAATGAAAATAAGAAGAAAAAAACTACCGAACATCACAAAATATATCTAGAACATCAATGTATGCTTACTGAACATCATAAATAAATCATAGAACATCACATTAACACTATATGAACATCATAAAATATAGCATAGAACATCATATGTATACTATGTGAACATCGTAAAATATCATAAAATGTAAAATAAAATAATAAAGTTAGGGAAGTAAATAATTATAGTTAAATAAAAAAACAAAAAAAGCTACCGAACATCACAAAAACTATCCTAGAACATCAATGTACGCTTACTAAACATTAAAAAATACAACATAAAGCATCACATTTGTACTCATGGACATCACAAAATATAGCATAGAACATTACATGTATACTACACGAACATCGTATGTATCTATAAATAAAAAAAATGAAACATAAAATTATAAATAGAAGAAAAGAAAGGGGAAAAAGAATAAAATACAAAAATAGAAAATGAAATAAACAAAATTACTAATTCTATCAAAAAAGAAATTAAAAATGTATAAATGTTAAAAAATAAAAAGATAAGAAATCAAAAAGAAAGAAAAATAAAAAACTAAATAGAAGCAAGAAAAGAAAACAAAAAAAGGAAATAAAATTAATAGAGTAAAATAAAATAGTAGAAGAATAAAGAAAATGAAAAGAATAACAAGAGTCCACAAAAAAGAAAATAAGAAAAGGAACATAAATGAATGAAAGGAAAGAAAAAAAAAGGAAAGCATACAATAAAAAAAGAAAATAGAAAAAGGAAACAAAAAGAATAATAAAAGACCACCATAAAAGGGAAAATGAAAAAAGAAAGGAAAGCACAAAAGAAATAGAAGAAAAGAAAAGAATTAAAGATAAAGAAAACGATAATAAAAATAAAAGACCACATAAAAGAAAAAAGGAAACAAAAAAAGAAAATAAAAAGGAAAACGAATGAACGAAAGGAAAAAGAAACACAAAAAGCATAAAATAGATACATAAAATTTAGGGAAAAATAAAGTAAATATTAGAAAAAATAAATAAATAAAAATAAGAATAAAATCCATATAGAAAAGAAACATAATAATAAGAAAAAAAAAAGAGAAACATGTACGTACCTGGAATGCGCCCACGTCGTACGTAACCGCACCGAAAGAATAAGCTCGCGCTGAATGCGCCCACGTCGTAGGTAACTGGGTGGGCCGTGGGCTGTGCTCGCACTGCTGTATCGCGCATGGGCCGAAATTCGTATAATCCCGTAGAAACGCTCACGGGGGGTCGGCGGGCAACTCGCGTCCGACTGGTCGGCAGCGACGGTTTCCGCGAATCCTTCGCTGCGCCGCCGCGCTGGCAGCCGGCCCGGACCCGTGGGCAAGTTGCCGGGAGTCAACGGCCTGTTGCTGGAGCCACTGCCCACTGCTAGTGCTGGCCCGCGGTGCCATTGCACGTCGCGCGCGGACGAGCGAGCGCAGTGAGTGGATCGCTTCCGGGGTCCGGCGATGGCGATTGGCGACCAAACGAGAGTTCATAACTCTTTTTTCCAGTGCTTTTTTTAATAGTGTTTTTTTTAATAGGTTTATAAGCTGTATTTTTTCAGCCAACGAACAGTATTTTTCTCTCACAACAAATCAGTCGATAGTACTTTCAGCCATGGCTTATCAGCCAAGCGAATATGACAATAATAATTGCCCGAATTAAAACTTTGCGGAAATAGATTATTTTCTATCTAGGAAAAAACTCATCATGCTGATTGAAATGCGAGATAAGCAACTAATAGTTAGCTACTAAAATTAGCTCTAGTGAATCTATATATTTCAATAATTGCCTACTAAAATTAGCCTCGGTTGATCAAACACTCCAACTAATAACTCAAAATGAACTACCCAGCTAATAACATACTGCTCATAACTAAATGTAACTACTTACTATTAGTCGAAGGATCCAAACAGAGTCTACCGAATAGAAAGTTATTAGCTGGCTTTTCCAAACTAGTAGCTAACAGTTAGTTAGATAGATGGATCCCAACACGGCCTGCAACGCATTGCATCACATGATGAATAATTGAAAGCAAATTATTAGGAATTACATATGCATAAGCCAGCTTGAAATTCCTCTTTTTTATATAAGGTATCGAATATCCATGTTTACCAGTAGAGCCGTTTTTTTTGTGTCACGTGATGGACCAACTCCATATGAGAACTTGCAATTAGTGGAAGGGCAACGACGTGTTTGGTTTCCTCGCCAGCGCTTGCCTCGCCTCTGGGCAAAATCCACTGTTTGGGTTCTTTACCATGTGCCTTGTTTCCCGTGCTGTCAAGCTTTTTCCTTGCTTGCTCAGGTGAGCCGAATCGCCTCGGCTGGCGAGGCTATCGTTGCCCAACTAGGTCAGGCGAGGCAAAAGAGTAGTCTATGAACATTTGCAATCCAACTAATGCATAGTAATTTTCACGCTTTTAACCGAGGAAACAGCAGGAGTTACCCTACAGTACCCTGAATTCCTGAAACACGCCCCTACAATGCTTCAGCAGATATAGCAACCAAAAAATGTAGGCAGAATCCGTGGAAGAAGGGATTGGAAGAAGCTCTCCGCAGCCTGTACCAGGCGTTGTCTCTCATACTGCAACAAATTTCTTGGATGTTCGGACTTCAGAGGGCACCAGGCGTGTCTCTCATGCTTATGTTCAAGCTGTTTCTCATTGTTCTCCTCCCAACTCCCATATTGCCCTTTGTCATCATGGCAACAAATTCCCCGTAATCAATGCGCCCATCCTGATTAAGGAAAACAGAAAAAGGGCAGTTACTGTACATGTTGAAGTGGTAGGTCATATATGCTGTGTGCAAAATGCAGAAGTTGTAAACATTTTTTATTTAATATACTGAAGAAATACCAGCGACACAAACAGGCAAGGGAATTTACAGGTTGCACAACAGCAAACAAATACTGTACATCTTCAGGTCCTTTTACATCAATCAGTAAGCGTTCAGATCATATTTTCCCAGACAAATAATGTATGCTATGCAGTTCAGGTATATATATCAGAAATCATTCTTGTCCAACGATGGCTACAATGCAAAATCTTCCTGCTTCTTTACAAATACAACGAAATGAGATTCAGTGCATCCTTTATGCATGGGATAACTAGAATTTAAACCCAAACTAATGCAAAGTTAACATAAGAAAATCAATATACTTACATTATCCTGGTCAGCTTCTTTAATCACATCATCAAGAAAAGCAGCTGGCATGTTATGCTCTTTGCACGCTTGTTGAAGCTCATCCACAGTAATGTAACCACTGCCATCTTTGTCAAAATACGAAAATGCTGCAACTAGATGTTCCTCACGCTCCAGTTTATTGAGGTGCAATGTAGCAGCAATGAATTCTATATAATCAATGGTCCCACTGTTGTCTATATCAGCCTAAATGATTCAAATAAAACAAAGGTAACTAATTATCATGTAGTCTACTTCACACTTTAGGACTAATTCTAAAAACTAATTCTGGGTGGTAATCCCCCCACTGAGATTCATTAAAAAAGAAGCGCTCATTCTAAAATTTGTACTCCCTCCATTACAAATTATAAGACGTTTTGGTTTTTCTAGATACATTGTTTTTATTATGCATCTAGACATAGTGTATATCTAAGTGCATAGCAAAAGCTATGTATGTAGAAAATCCAAAACGTCTTATAATTTAGAATGGGGGGAATACATCATAACTCACAGCCTCCATATGGAGTATTTATTGAATTATAAGGACATGAAAAATAAAAATGGCTTTCACGCACATTGAGTAGTGACATATAAGCAAATTCATCAGAAACAAAACCATTAATGTTTAAAGGAAATTTTAGCCATGGAATGCCTGAAACATGAAACTTTTTATTGTAGCCAAGACATCACAGCATAACAAAAAGATGAAAATGACAAAAACTTATTCAGTCTCAAAATTCTGAAATACATCAGTCAATGCAATAGCTTTCGATCAAGTTTTGCCAAATTGGTGACGAAAATCTTGGCCAACAGATTGGCTGGTCGCCTTGATGAAATGGTCTCTCCCAATCAAAGTGCCTTTATCAAAAGGCGGTTCATCCAAGATAATTTTATGCTGGTCCAACAGACGGTTAAATTCTTGCACTCTCAAAAACAGCCAAGGATCCTCCTAAAACTTGACATCACAAAAGCCTTTGACTCCATATCATGGTCGTTTCTGTTGGAGGTGTTGGAAAAACTTGGCTTTGGGTCAAGATGACGTGATCTGCTGTGTGTCTTGCTTGTCTCATCATCTACTCAGGTCCTGCTGAATGGCACCCCTGGTGACTACATACAGCACAGAAGAGGGCTCCGTCAGGGAGATCCCCTCTCCCCATTGCTTTTCATTCTAGTCATGGATGTTCTGAATTGGATGGTCACAAGAGCCTCAGAAGATGGTCTGCTGTGTTGGCCCCTGGATCTCCGACACGGGTGAGCCGACCGCTCACCGACCACACACTATGGCTAGAGGTAGAAGAAGGGAGGGAGAACAGAGCACACACACAGCACAAGCACCAGCGTTGGCCAGAGTTCTACAGAGATGGCAAAACCGAACTCACTCACTTTACTGAGTTGCAGTGGGAAGCTATATATACAACTCTACCCATCTAATCCTAGTGTACAGACATGTCAGACTGTCATGCTGCTACAGTGACCGGATGTGACAGCAGGGCTGACTTTGGCGCCTGCCCCTGCTATGGTTACAGTGCAGCAGGTGAGCCTTTCGGCGCCTGCCCCTGCAACGGCTACAGTGCAGCAGCAGGGGAGCCCTTTCGGCGCCTGCCCCTGCCGCGCCGTACAGAGAAGAGCAGCAGATTACTTAACAATTCTTTCCATAATCCTGCTACTAACCCTAGAACCTCCACCATGCCGATCATCTTCTTCAGCTCCGTGAACCGAAGACGGCCGAGCCGCTGGGTGAGGACGTCCGCGAGTTGCCGACCAGTTTCGACGAACTCGATGACGATCTACCCTCCATCGACACAGTCCCTGAGGAAGTGAAACTTGACGTCGATGTGCTTGCTCCGGTCGTGGAGAACCGGATTCTTCGCGAGGGCGATGGCGGGTTGGTTGTCCACCATCAGTGCTGGTGGGTGAGCTTCCACACCGGTCAGCTTGCCCAGCAGCCGGCGCAGCCACACAGCTTGGCACGACGTTGTGGACGCCGCCACGTACTCTGACTCGTACGTGGACAACGCCACCACCTTCTGTTTCAGCGACAGCCATGAGATTGAAGCTGACCCGAGGAAGACGAGCACGCCAGAGGTGCTCCGCCGTCCGTCGATGTCCCCCGCCATGTCTGCATCGCTGAACACAGTGAGCTGCAGCCCACTTCCGTCGATCTTGAGGAAGATGATTCCCTGATCCACCGTCCCCTTGATGTAGCGCAGCAGTCGTTTCACCACGGCCCAGTGATCCTCTCGGGGATCCTCCATGAAGCGGCTGACGTAGCCCACGGTGAATGCAATGTCCGGCCTCGTGTGGACTAGGTAGCGCAGACCGCCGACCGGTAGAGTGTTGCATCTACCCTCGCTGCGGTACTGGCCTTCGTTAGCTTCAGCCGCTCCTCCTTCGGAGTCACGCACGGCTTGCACTCAGCCATGCCGCTCCGCTCCAACAGCTTCGAGGCGTACGCGCTCTGACCGAGCGTGAGCGTCTCCTTCCCCTGTCTCACCTTGATGTCGAGATAGTAGGAGAGCGCGCCGAGATCGCTCATTCAAAAACGAGCCACCATCTCGAGCTTGAAACTGTCGATGTCCTCCGCACGCGCGCCGGTGACGATCAAGTCGTCCACATACACGTCGACGACGAGCTCCTCCTTCCCCCGGCGCCGCATGTAGAGCGCGTGCTCGGTTGCGCAGCGTGTGAACCCAAGTTCGCCCAGCGTGGCGTCAAGCTTGGCATTCCACGCTCGCGGGGCCTGCCGCAGCCCGTAGAGCGCCTTGCGCAGTCGGAGCACCCTATGCTCTGCTCTCTTGACGGCGAAACCCGGAGGTTGCCTGACGAAGACCGTCTCCGCCAGCTCGCCGTTGAGGAAGGCCGATTTTACGTCCAGGTGATGGACGCGCCAATCCTTCGCTGCTGCCAAAGCTAGCAGTAGTCGAATAGACTCCATGCGCGCTACCGGCGCAGACTTCCTCGAAGTCGATGCCCTCGCGCTGGACAAAACCTCGGGCGACGAGACGCACCTTGCGTTTGACAATGGCGCCGCGCTCGTCCCGCTTGACCTTGTACACCCACTTCAGGCCGATCAGACGGCATCTTGGAGGTGGATCGACGAGCTCCCAAGTCTCATTTTCCTCGATCGCCTTCATCTCCTCCAGCATCGTCCGTCGCCAATTTGCATCGCGCTCGGCCAGCGCGAACGTGGGTGGTTCCTCTGCACTGACGAGAAGCAGCTCTGGGTCATCGAGCGGCCGACCCGCCAGGCCTGAGGGCCCTATGCCGCCGACGATGTCGTCCAGCCTGCAGAACCGCACCTCCTCACCGTCGTGGAAGGCATCCACGAACTCAGTGATGTCGTTTGGAGGTGAGGCGAACTCGATCGGCGTCGATGGAGTCCCCTGTTCCGCCGGAGTGGTCGGCACAGCACCTGGAGTGCTCGGCACCCCGGTTGCAGTGTTCGGCACTACTCCTAGACCGCTCGTCACCACTCCTGGAGTGGTTTGCACCACTGCAGGAGTGCTCGGCACCAGTCTTGGAGTGGTCGGCACCACTGCAAGACCTTTTGGCTCCGCTACGGGAGCGTTCGACACCCGTCCTGGAGTGGTCGGCGCCACTGCAGGACCGCTCGACACCACACTTAGAGTTCTCGGCACCGCCCCAAGAGTGCTCGGCTCTGTTGCTGGAGTGGTCGGCACCTCCTCTCCAGCGTCTCCACCACCATGGATGACCAAATGCTTGACGACGAAGGTGCTGGTGAAGCCGCCAGCTTCTCCTATGCCCGGATTGTCCCAGTCCCAGGCCACCTTCTCGTCGAAAACGACGTCGCGCGAGAAAACCACCTTGCCTCCGCGTGGGTCGTAGAGTCGGTACGCCTTGGTACCTTCCTCGTAGCCTAGGAGCACCATCGGTGTGCTCCTATCCTCCAGTTTGGTGAGGACCGACTTCGTATTCCTAACGTGGCTGATGCAGCCGAATGTCCGGAGGAATGACACGCTCGGCTTGCGCCCATACCAAGTTTCAAATGGTGTCACGCCCTTCAGGGCCTTTGTGGGCGCGCGGTTGAGGATGAACACCGTCGTGGTCACCGTCTCATCCCAGAACCTTGCCGGCATGCTCTTGGCCTTCATCATGGATCGAGCCATGCCAACCACCATCTGGTTCCGCCGCTCCACCACGCCATTTTGCTTTGGCGAGTACGGTGCGGTGTGGTGTCGCACCATACCTTGATCCGCGCAGTACGCAACGAACTCCACCGAAGTGAATTCGCCGCCGCGATCAGTCCGCAGCACGCGCAGCTTCTTGCCGCTCTCCGCCTTCGCGCGCGCCTTGAACTTCTTGATCGCCTCCGCCGCCTCGTCCTTGCTCGTCAGGAGTTGCAGCCACATATAGCGACTGCAATCATCCACGAGCAGGAGGAAGTACCGCCGACCATCATTTGTGGCTGGCGTGATTGGCCCGCAGAGATCGCCGTGGACGAGCTTGAGAGCGTCCGCCGTGCGATACTTGGCCGCCTTTGGGAATGGCAGGATCCTCTGCTTTCCGGCCAAACAACTGTCACACAGCTCGCCTGCGTGCTTGATGTGGGGCAGCCCTCGGACCATCTTCTCCAGACGACCAAGCGCGTCGAAGCTGAGATGGCCGAACCGGGCATGCCACAGCCACGGCTCCTCGGTGTGCCGTGCTGCCAGGCACACCGGTTGCTCCACCTTCAAGTAGAGCAGGTACAACCGGTTCCGAGACCTTCACCTTGGCAAGAAGCCGCTACTCCCGGTCCCTGATCCTGAGGACGCCGTTCTTGATCAGTACCTCGCTGCCGCGCTCATCCAGCTGGCCAATGCTGATGATGCTTGAGCGCAGCTGTGGGATGTAATATACATCCGTCAGCGCGCGGTGCTCGCCGTTCTGGCACCTGAAGATGATGGTGCCGAGCCCTCGGATCGCTACCCTTGAGCCGTCACCGAACTTCACCGTGCCGGTCACGTGGCCGTCGAGCTCGGAGAAGGCTTTCTTGGAGCCAGTCATGTGGTTGCTGGCGCCGGAGTCCAGGTACCACCGCTGCTCCTGCTCGCCGTCCACACTTCCGAGGTGGACTTGGGCGCGCGGTTTGTCGAGGTTGACAGCCTTCAGAGCCTTGCCGTGCCCTTTCACCGCCAGCACCTCTCCCTTCTCCTTGGCCTCAACATCGTGCAGTGCACAAAACGTTGTCATCAAGAGAGTGGCCTCATCGTCCTCATCAGCCTACACTAAATGAGCCTCAGCCTTCTTCTCCTGCTTGCGATTTGGGCACTCCTTTGCCCAATGGCCCATCTTCCTGCAGCGCCGGCAGGCGTTGGGGTCGACCTTCTTCTTCTTCTTCTCCGAAGAAGCCTTGCCACGGCGCCTGCCATCGCCACCGCAGCTAGAGGAGGCTTCCTCGGGCTTCTTCATCCGGACAGCCCACTCCTCCTCTGTCAGCAGCAGCTTGCCTCTGTCCGTCGTTGCTGTGGCCTGCTCCATGCGCTCGCCCACTGCCCGCAGACGGCCTGTCACATCCTCAATGGTGAGGGTGGACAAATCCAGCATCGTCTCTATGGAGAGAGCGATCTGGATGTACTTCACCGGCACGGAGCGATGCTACTTGGAGACCGCCTCTTCTTCGTCGATGGTGACGCCGTGGCTCCTCAGCTTGCTAATGAGCGACTGCATGCGGAGGGAGAAGTCCTCCACCGACTCACCATCCTTGAACTTGATGGTGGCGTACTCCTGATTCAGCAGCTGGGCCATCGCCTTCTTTGCGGTCGGAGCCGACGCGCATCGCTGCAATGGCCTCCCACGCCTCCTTAGCAGAGTTCTTCGCCCCCAACGGCTCCCTGTACTCCGCTGGCACAGCAGCGAGGATAGCCTCCAACGCTGACATGTCGTCTTCTTCGTTGTCGGTACCCTTGTCAATGGCATTCCAGAGCCGTCGGGCTCTGAGCTTGACCTTCATGGTCACCGCCCACTCGCTATAGTTGGTACGAGTCAGCGTCGGCCAACTGGTGCCGCTGACCTCCCCTTGACTGCGGCGACGACGACGACCTCGTCGTGGGGTGGATAGCCACAAGCAGCCAGCTGGCTGTTGTCGCCCATCTCCAAACCGTCCGTTATCGCCAGCGGTTAGTCCGGCAACGACGCTTATACAGCTCTGATACCACTTGTTGGCCCATGGATCTCCGACACGGGTGAGCCGACCGCTCACCGACGTTGCCGACCACACACTATGGCTAGAGATAGAAGAAGGAAGGGAGAACAGAGCACACACACAGCACAAGCACCAGCGTTGGTCAGAGCTCTACAGAGGAGATTGCAAAACTGAACTCACTCACTTTACTGAGTTGCAGTGGGAAGCTATATATACAACTCTACCCATCTAATCCTAGTGCACAGACATGTCAGGCTGCCATGCTGCTACAGTGACTAGATGGGACAGCAGGGCTGACTTTGGCGCCTACCCCTGTTGTGGCTACAGTGCGGCAGGTGAGCCTTTCGGCGCCTTCCCTTGCAGCGGCTACAGTGCGGCAGGTGAGCCTTTCGGCGCCTTACCTTGCAGCAGGGAAGCCCTTTCGGCGCTGCCCCTGCCGCGCCGTACAGAGGAGAGCAGCAGATTAGTTAACATGCTGCAGCCTTTATCCAGGATGCCAATCCAACATAGGATTTCTCTATATGCAGATGACGTGGCCCTCTTTCTCCAGCCGACAGCTGCAGACATTAACTTGACACTGAACATACTCCAACTATCTGGAGATGCTTCCGGTCGACCAATGTGCAAAAGAGCAACGTGCTGCCAATTTAGTTTTCGGAAGAAAATATGGCTCTCATTCAGAATCTGCTACCTTGTGAAATCCTCGACTTCCCTAGCAAGTACCTTGGGCTACCACTCTCCCTTAGGAAACTAACTAGAGAGCAATTCCAGCCCATTATTGACAGAATTGCCGATCATAGAGCAGAAAGAGTGGTACAGGTTCAGTTTGTTCTCACGGCAATGTTAGTTTATCTGGCCATGGCAACTAACCTGCCACCTTGGGCAATTAAAGCAATCGATAAAATCAAATGAGCTTTTGTCTGGAGGGGTCGCAAAGAAGCAAAAGGAGGACACTGTCTCATTGCTTGGCCTAAAGTGTGTCGATCTCGGGAACTTGGTGGACTGAGTATCTCTGATCTGAAATCCCTGAATTATTCCGTAAGGGTTAGATGGCCATGGCTCCAGAAAACTGAACCTGACAAGCCCTGGGCAACCCTGCCACTTCAAGTTTGTAAGGAGGTTGAAAGCCTCCTCTCCCTGGCAGTGTGTACTGAAATTGGAGATGGGGCCAACACTTTATTTTGGAGAGATAGATGGCTGGCCGGGAAGAGCATCCAGTACCTTGCCCCAAAGGTGTATGCATTAGTGACTAAAAGGAGGTGTACTGAAATTGGAGATGGGGCCAACACTTTATTTTGGAGAGATAGATGGCTGGCCGGGAAGAGCATCCAGTACCTTGCCCCAAAGGTGTATGCATTAGTGACTAAAAGGAGGTCTGGAAGGCGCACTGTGATGGAGGCCCTCAATAATGATAAATGGCTGGAGGATATTCAAGGCGCCATCTCCCTGGAAGCACTAATGGAGTACCTGGAGCTTTGGGACATAATTTCTGCTGTGGTACTTCAGGAAGGCGTACCTGACAGACATATTTGGAGGCTATCCACTACTGGTCAGTACACCGCAAAATCTGCTTATGATGCTCTTTTTCAGGGTGCCATCTGCTTTGAACCCTATGAACGAATATGGAAGTCATGGGCTCCACCAAAGTGTCGCTTCTTCATGTGGCTGGTGGCACATAACCGATGTTGGACAGCAGATCGGCTGGCCAAGTGAGGGCTCCCCCACCATGATCGCTGCCTCATGAGGAAAACATCCAACACCTCTTGATTGGATGCGTGTTTGCCAGACAGTTCTGGTTTTCCCTTCTTCAGCAGGTCAGCCTCTCCACCCTCGCTCCGCAGCCCAGCGATACATCTCTGGATGAATGGTGTCCAGTGCGGAAAGGGTGGTTACGGATGATGTAAAGAAAGGGCTAACTCTATTATCATCCTTGGATCCTGGATTATTTGGAGGCACCGCAATGACTGTGTTCAATGGAGCTGCTCCCAACACTAGAACGGCTTTGGCCCTTGGGGGGGTCAATGATACGCAGTTTTCCTGCGTGTTCGAGAGAGAGATCTTTAGTATCCAAAACATTCCCAGCTCTGGCAAATTTAAATATCACCTAAAGTCCTTAACACTAGGACGGCAAGAACAGCATACATGTCATACCATATTTCCTAATCCAAGAATACTGATCATATTGTGCAAGAAAAACCCGCTGGCAAAAGCTTAAACGTAAGGTCCTTTTCGTCAACAACCTAAAGCTGTCTCATAGCAGATCCAAAACAACAACAAAAAGTCCTAAGCGATAATTGATATTCAAAAAACTTACCGCCTCCATGAGATCACGAATTTCAGTATCCTTTAATGTGGAACCATACTTTCTCAATCCTTCTTTCAGTTCATCATATGTAATTGCACCGCTATTATCTGTATCCATTGCCATGAACATTTCCTTCAGCCCTGCAATCTCCTCCTCCGAAAGGCTCTCGGCAATTACCTGGTCGAAGTAGAATAAATACAAATCCTCTATTAACAGAAAAGTCAAGAAAGCTGCTCGAATACAATGCAGCAACATGAGGACGATACCAACACAACTATACTAAAAATACTAATAGCCTTGGGCTGGTAGCAGTTGGTAATCTTAGGTAAAGATGGCAGATCAGTTGCAGAAAATGGAACCCAGTTGATTTATATAAATAATTAATCATGTAAAGCAATAATCAAAATTGCATGTAATATAATAGTGGAAACACTAGCCTTCACAAGACAGAGGTCCTACATAATATAGATTAGAAAAAAATAAGAAGAAACAAAAACTAAGCACATATGCAAATGGCAGGAACTTCACTGTTATGCACCCAGACAGGAACAAGCATTGTGAAGGCCAATGAACCATTGCTACACCTATGTAAAAAAACTATATAATCCACCCAAAGAAAAAATAAATGCTCTTACCTGCAAAGCCATCTTCTTTAACTTATTCATCGCTGAGAACTGCTTGATGCGAGACAGGATGGCTGGATCAAGAGGACGATCAGGAGCAACTCCATGGTCACAAATCCATGGATGACCTGAACACAAGAAAATTGTGTTTCTTATCAGAACAACTGTGCAGATATTAATACCAGGCATTAAAAAAAGTGGGTGCACAGTCACTGTTCACAATTTCAAGTAGCCATGCTTAGCATATACTTGTATCTGCACAATAGAAATGTACAGAAGAACAGTATATTCAACTAACCAACGAAATTATTAGAGAAAAGGGAATCAACAAGCTCTGTACAGGTGAAACTAACTAACATAGAACTTCATGTGCTGTTAAGCGCTCCGATGGGAGAGGATTCAACATTCTTCTTATAAGATCCTTCGCACTCTCAGAGATCACAGGCCAGGGATCCGAATCAAAATCAATTACACCTTTCAAAACAGCATCGAAAATTCCTTGCTGTGTCTCTGCAATGATTACATTTAGAAAATCAGTCTTGAAGAGGAAAAGATCTGTCCATTAAAAACTGAATTTGGACCTTTGGTAATCAAGGGTCAATAGAATGCCAATACCTCGCGTAAAAATATTATGGACTTTGAACAGTAAACATTTTACTGAAAATAGGAAGAAAACAAAGATGAAGCTGTACCTGCCCAAAATGGAGGTACGCCACTTAGAAGTATGTAAAGAATTATTCCAGCTGTCCACACATCAGCTTCTGGTCCATATCGTTTCCGCAGCACTTCTGGAGCTACATAGTAAGGGCTTCCCACAACATCGGTAAAAATTTGACCTAAAATAAATAAACAACAAGGGGAAACATGGTTTACGATCTGCAGCAAGCAGCATTGAACGTAAACTTCAATATCCTAATCAAATGAATGCATTTGCACAAGAGAACAAGGGGGAGAGGGTTTTAAGAGATAGTAGTAGAATAACGTTTCAAGTAAGCAAATGAATGCTAATTTGAATGACTTCAAAACTTGCCTTCAGCAATAGAAAAATAGTCGAAATACTTGGTCAGTAATTTCAGTGACGTTATCTAGAATAATGTTTTTCCAGTAATGTTTTCCCCTTTCAATGCTATCTTGAATAATGTTTTGCAAGTTCTCTCAGTAATCTATAATATAATTGTCATGGTTCTTTTGGGACAGTAAAATGAAAGTGACCCACAATCGCAAATCACTGCATAACAAATCAAATATGTAACTGTTCAGCACACACTAACGATTGCAGTGCATAATAAATCATGTCTACAGAGTTGCAGTGACATAACTCTTGAAAATTGCATGGACACAAACTTTGGGCGCAGCATTTCCTTCAATAGTAGTATGATTCCAAGATGGAACCTCCCCAATTCTTGACAGCCAACGCTACTAAGTCATTCTCTGTTTTGCTTTTAACTCATTTTATTGTTTTCTGTTCCTCTCTCCTCACCTCATTGTAAAAATCTACAAGGACTTCCATGTCTCATTGTAATTATACACCACTTGCAGTAAAAGTTCAGGTTGCCTATTGGGCCACCGTAGTTTATTCCTTTTTTAATTAAGTCATTGTAATGCAGACTATATCGATGTTTCACCAATTAGCATCAAGACAAAGCAAGCACAATGAACACAAGCCCCCCCCAACGGTGACTCACCAGGCTTGAAGAACACTGAGAGGCCGAAGTCGATGGCCTTGAGCGACATATCGTCATCCTTGTTCGCGAGCAAGAAGTTCTCGGGCTTGAGATCCCTGTGCATTACCCCGAGCGAGTGGCACGCTTCGACGACCCCAACGATAATGCGCGTGAGTTCCGCGGCCTTGCGCTCGCTGTAATGTCCGCGCTGTATGATACGGTCGAACAGCTCCCCGCCCGCGCAGAGCTCCATAACGATGTGGACGTACTGCTGGTCCTCGAACGCGCCCTTGATGGCGACGACGTTACGGTGGTCGGCCAGGTGGTGCATAATCTGGATCTCGCGGCGCACGTCCTCGACATCCTCCCTGGTGATGAGCTTCCGCTTGGCTATACTCTTGCAGGCGTAGTCCACGCCTGTGGCGAGGTCCGTGCAGAGGTAGGTGGTGCCGAACTGCCCCTGCCCCAGCTTGCGGCCGAGCGCGTAGTGGTCGCGGAGGCTCGGGGTCGGGTGGCCCAGCACGTTGGCCGTGAGCTCCGCGGGGGCCGGCACCCCGCGCCGCATGCCTGGGGCGGGGGGCGGGGCTGAGCCGTCCGCCGCGGCTCCCGCCTCGGGCGGACGCGTGGCTCGCTTCCCGTTCCCGTGCGGCGCGGGCTCATCGGCGGCCGCGGAGGCGGAGACGGGTGCGTAACCCGCCGCGTCGCGGCGCTGCGACGCGCTTCCGCGGAAGCTGGCGAAGTACTTGGATCTAAGCGTGACGCCGCACGTGTTGCCCATCACACTCTCGGCGCGGGCGCGGGCGCGGCGGGGACGCCGATCACTCTCGCATGTACCTCGGCCTCCCTCGGGGTTTAGGGGGGAGAAGAAGTCGCGGCGTGGCGTGGGCACGAGACGCGCGGGCGCGGGCGATGGAGATGGAAAGGAGAGAGCGCCTCGGGTGCGAATTGGAGTCGGGGCTCGGATGTCGGCGCAAGTGGGAGAGAGGAGCGCGGCGAGGCTGGAGCGCGGGCGGGGAGGAGGAGGGTTCACGGCGGCTTCGCGGTCAGTCGGTCACGCTGCGGGGAAAGCGAAGCGAAGGCTGCTTTGCTGCGGTCGCGCTGTGTCCTGTCTGGCTGGCGGTGGCGCTGCTCCGGTTGGATCGGCAGACTGGAGAGGATAAACTATCTGCCATTGTCAGCGCGCTGCTACCACAGCGTACTCCTCCTATGCAACGATATCCTGTCTAACAGGTTGTTCGCTGGTGGGTTCTGCGCTGATAACTTCTGACTAATGTTGTTCGCTGCGAGAGGAAAATACTGATAAGTCCTGAAACCAACAAACGAATAGACCGAAGAAAAGGTTTTGGCCGGACGTTTTCGATTTCTTCTTGCTCTAAGGTTTCCCTCATTTGGTCATTTGGCTTACGCGTTGAGTGAATTTTGGTGTGTTTGATTTGTGAGTCAACTAAGCTTCATGAGGTGATGCATCATGAGTTCATCTTACGTATTTTGGTGGAATCAACTCATTACTCGTATATATGCTAATTATTAACCTGTGAGGAATGAGGTGATGATGGAGCAACTCATTGCATTCTACGAACCAAATAAAAAAAAGTGAGGAGCGAGAAAATGATGGATCACTTCATTTCTCAGACCAAACATACAACAATGTCTAGAGCAGTTCATACGAGCAGAGGGTCATCCTCCCAAACCGAATATTGTTAGATTCACGACAATTCCATCTCTTAGGGTGTGGTTAATTAGGTTTCGTTTCTACGTAGCCACGATGATATCTGTCAACGAGGCTCTCGCAGGCTTACATTCTTTGTAATGCAAGATAGCAAGATAGTTTGTTTGGCTCACATTTCTGTTGGTAGTGTGTGACCATTGAAGATGATTAATTTGGTCTCTTGCTACTCACAGCCTGTAACCGTCTGTTTGGTTGAAGGGATCAACTGGGATGAAGTGGGATGATCCTAGGATGAGGGTTGTTTGGATGAGAGGCAGCCAGGGGCGAGTCCGTCCCTGCGAGGAATATGCCGGCAGATTCGGGACGCCCCCCGTCCCACAAAATCGAGGGGACAGGGTCAGCCCAAACGGGACGAGCGGGCTGGTGGCGAGGAAGAAGGAGAGAAGGTGCGCTCGCTCACGGACGGCGTGCGGGAGAGGATGGGAGGAAGAAGGACGACGCTCGGAGGAGCTTGAAGACGGAGGAACCCGACTGGGGCGAGCGCCGCCGCCTCGCAGGTCGCCACGCGGGCGAGCACGCTGCCTCTCAGGCCGCCGCATGACGCAGGGGAGAAGGGAGAGGAGAGAGGATGGCCGCCGCGGGTTCCACCACCAGCCCCCGCACGAGCTATGCCCGGCCTCGTCGCGCACCGGGGCAACTCCGGCGGGCGACTCGTGGCTACAGGGCTGGCGGACAAGTGCGAGCAAGGTCAAGCGGGCCGACTCCGGTGAACGGAGGCTCGGCCAGCCAGTGCGGGGTCCCGGGTGGAGGGCGGAGGAGGTGCGGGATCGTGGGTGGAGGGCGGAGGAGGCACATGGATATCGTCGGTGGAGGCCCGGGTAGCAAGCGCGGGTCGCGACTCGCGGTCCGAGACGGAAGAACGAAGAAGAAAGGATAAGGAAGAAGAAAAAAGAAAATAAAGAAAAGGGAAAAAATCAAATGGACGTGGGCCCTATATGTCAGTGGCTCATCCTACTTTTGATGTCTCTGAACCAAACAGAAAAACGGATTGGTGCCATCCTTTCTCAACCAAATAGAAAATGAACCCGTCCCATTCCACGAACCAGAGCCAGAATCATCCCACCCTACCTTGTCTCTCAACCAAACGCTACCTAAGAAACTAGCTGGTTTTTCTCCCAAAATCAAATACTACTTCGGTTGTAAGTTCACAGACCCCATGCGTGCTGCCTTCGCGTTGAAGATTGTTGATCGGAGTCGTCGGAGCTCAGAGGACCAAGAAGCAACAAGGACCACACAGGCCAACCGTGCGCAGACCGCACACGGCTAGCATGTGCGCCACGGGCAACGTGCGGCGGCGGGGATCAGGGTCGCTCGTGCGTACGGGCGGATACCGGATAGGTGCGCGCTCTGGCTTGCCAGTTGCCACGTGCGCCGGCACCCTTTCTCTCGCTGCCATGCGGCGCCGGACAGATACGGACCCTGCTGACAGCGAAGCTTTGTGCTGCAGCAAGAGCGTTTCTCGTTAACTTTTAGGCCCCGTTTAGATCCAAAAAATTTTGGATTTTGGTTTATTGTAGCATTTTGTTTGTATTTAGTAATTAATGTCTAATTATGGACTAATTAGGTTTAAAAGTTTTGTCTCGCGATTTCTCACCCAACTGTGTAATTAGTTTTTTTTCGTCTACATTTAGTACTCCATACACATACCGTAAAATTCGATGTAACTGGTACTGTGTAAAATTTTTTGGAATCTAAACAGGCCCTCCGTGGACGTTTTAGCTGTTCGAGGCCAACTGCAGCCAGGGTATAGCTGTGCCTGTCCGCTAGGGCGAGTGCCAAGTGGAGTGGGAAATGATGGGCATAGGGAAAGAGGCGGTCCGGTGGTGCTGGCAACAAGGAGGAAACAGGAAAGTGCCACTCGGTGGATGACTTTCGACGGCACACAACGTATGGATGCGATCGTGGAGGAGCTGCGGGTCACTGGATCAGATCCGTTTTCAACCAAAAGGCTTATCGGTTATCATTGCTTCTCGCGCTGCTTTAGAGCTTTATACCAGTTCTCGTAAATGCACAAATTAGGCTCCCTAGGCCCTAGCGATGTTTCAGAAGAGTCGTCGTCCCTCCATTTCTTTTATATAGGATTTGCATATATTTTAAGGTCCAAACATTGCAAACTTTAGTCATAAGTCAAACTTTGTATCAAGTGACATTTGATTCGCTCTTATCCAATCTCTTGACCAGTTCTGCATGCATGCATACAAAATCGGTCTCTTCTAGCTCATCTTAACTTTTTTTTGAAATTGGGATCCATCTTTTAATTAGATTTCAAATATTGTCATCAGCTATTTCTGTGGAGATGACTCTCCTGAGTGCACATTAGATATAAAAAAAGTTGTTGAAAGGAGGAAAGATATAGAGAGAGGTTTTTGTTCAAATGGCTCTTCAAATGAGAATTTAGAGAGTGAACTTAAGAAAGACTATTGAAAATGCCCTAATGGAATCAAAATCTCCACCACTATAAGGACGCCAACATGGAGAGCATGTCGAGGAACAAAGACATGAAAACTGATGGATCGCTTGGAAGATTAATATATTTTGTTAATAAAGACACTCAAACTAGCACCTCAATCAAATACATAATATATATATCAAGGAAATAGCTAGTACAAAAGATACATAACTTGATTTTGTTTGTATAATATAAGGACGCCGTGTCAAAGAATGCGAGCCTGTCACTATCGACCTTGCTCTTGTGTTTCAGGTAACTTAAATCATTTTATCAACAAAACTATACCGAATATTACGAACCATACCGAACCAGATCACATCGCTTGTCATATTTTTTTGAATCGCATCACGTCATATTTTGAAACCGGTCGAGCAGTAACAAGTTAAAATTCGACCGAAGTGCAAAAGGCCCATGGCCCATGGGCCCTTCGACTTAGTAGACTATTGGCCCAAATGAACTTAAACGGGCCATTCATTCAGCATTTCCATGATGTTTCCAAAAGTAGTAGAACTGATCTCCTTCTCTCTCGAACTGAAAAGTTGACCCGAGTTTAAGCTCCACCCACCAGCTTGACGAGCTTAGCTATATCATGTGATAAGTCGTATCGTGGATTTATTTGCTCACGAGAAGGTTCAGCCGCGATTAAGCAAACGCTAGTTTGGGCAAACAATCACCCTATTCGCTTATGCTAAAATTTGGCTTATGCTAAAATATTGTAAGAGAAAAACATTATTCTGTGGCTGAAAAGTAGCTCAAGCGAACATGGCAAATATAGGAAGAGGAAAGAGACATGGAACCATCACAGGTCACACCCACGCCTCGCCGTAGCACAAGTCCTGAAAAGGCAGAGACCATCCGTGGTCAAAGCTCACAGACAGTTCAAGCGATCGACCATCATCGCCTAGCTGTGTCAGTTATCGGCGACCAACTTTGAGCAGTGAGCGATGGTGATCTTGGGAAAGGGAAGCCGATACAGCACGTATCGCATGCGTACAGTACTTGTACGAAGCACGGTCTTGAAGCTTAGCTCGTTACGGATGGCGCCAGAAATGGTGTGGTAGCATAGCAACTAGCAAGTGCCATCTGACTCGGATCCACAGGTCACATTCACCTCGAGACCCGCGCACACACGGCCACCACTTCCCTCGCCATCATCAAGCTCGCTAGGTTGCCTACGGGCGGCGACCGCTCTCGAGGCAAAGCAGAGCCATTGACCTTACCGGCCTAGCGATCTGCTCCCACCTCCCCTTGCCCCGACGACCTTATCACATCAGCGGCCGCGCTTTTCGATCGCCGGAAACGGAGATCGCTAGCCTAGCGGTAGTAGCGGCTGCCGCCGCGGCCCGCGTGCGTGTGCATGCCCGACAGACGTTGCAAGCGCTCAGAAAACTGGCCGCGCGCACACACGCGCTCATTGAAGGCGAGGTGCCGAGGTGCTGCTGGCTGGACCACCACACCAGCTGAGCGCGTCGTTACGTGGACGAAAAGCGCCACCCGGCCAGCTCCGTTCGCTGCGCTTTTTCCTTTTGTCCGTGGCCGCTTTATCACCGAAGGCACGAGGAGCGGAGCGGAGCGGAGGTCGGGAGGAGCAAAGGAGGCC